TCTCCAAAGAGGAGGAGGAGCACATCGCGGCCCTGGGCTTCCTAACCCGCCAGAAGCCAGATTCTGCAAAAAAGTGACGAGCCCCCCCTTTTTTTTTTTTTTGCTTTTTTTTTTTTGCTTTTTTCCATCTTCAAGCTGCACCCCCCCCCCCCCCACGCACAGGTTCCTCTCCCCGCCGGCCGCGTCGTCGTCTTGAGTCGCAGCTGCAGAGCCGGCCTCCGTCTGTGAGGCAGGAAGCCCGGTCTGTGGGGGACGCCTGCATGAAAGAAAGGTGAGGCGGCCCTTCTGGGTGAAAAAAAGAAAAAAAAAAAACTCAAGCCGGCCTTGGCGGGAGGAGGAGCTGCTGCCGGGAAACGGGAGGCTGCTGCGAGCGGGCGGCCGGGGTGAGAATCGAGCGCTGGGTGCCTTCGGGTCCAGCTTGGTGGAGATTTGCTTAACAGATGGGTGGCGAGAGAGAGAGGAGAGAAAGGAAGGTGTAGACGCTCGATTTCCTGACACCTGTTGTCTCCGTCTACACAGAGTCGCTCAATGGTCTTCTCTGGGTGAAGACGGGGTTGCCTGGCCGTGCACTGGTTTAACCATCACTGGGTTGAGTCCGCTGGTCCGGTCTCCAACAGCGCTCGAGCAAAGCCAGAAGGACACAACCAGCCCAAGGAGCCTTGGAGAAGGAGCCAATGGTGGCCGCCATGTTGCTCCCAGATGAACCCAAAGATGGGCTTCCTCCTGGTCCTCTTGTCTCAAGCCCCGGGGACCCCGGAGCCCTTAGGCGGGATACGATACGAGGAGGGCTCCCCGTGGAGAGGGTTTCCCCAGGCCAGAGAGTCAGGGTGGAGGGGGCCACGGACGAGGATACTGGGGCCAGCTCGACGGGGCTCCCCAGGCCCAGACTGGGCCATGAGCTCGTGGGCGCTGGCTCCCAGGGGAGGTTCTGATGAGGGCAGCAGGGATTTGGGGGTGTCTTGAGCATCCTCATCTGGGCGGGGCTCGCCGTGAGAACGCACACCTGGATGGGACCGTGGGGGCGCTCACACACACCCAAGGGGAAAAGATGCCGCTGAACCAATGGGAAGGTCGTAAAAGGCAAAGAAAGCTGGGCCCAGACGGGGCCCTGTGATGGATGGCGATGGAAGTCCCCGCGTGGAACAGGATTGGGTCCCAAATGTGGGCTAGGGGCGGCGTTTAGATGAAAGTACTGGGGCCGTGTGGATTGACCAAGTGGACGACGGGGCTGTGCTTTTCCAAGGGGTTGCCTGTGATTACAGAGGGCGCTTAGGGTGAAAGGACCACGCTGCATGCAACTCCCGATGGTTCAGAGAAGACGTGCTGTTGTGAGAGATTGTACATCATCCACATGTGTGTGTAGATCGATAGATAGACAATAGAGATTAATAGAGAGATGACAGATATATAGATGGATGCATGGGTGGAATAGATAGATGTGTACATAGATGAATAGATAGATGATGGATAGTTACATACATACATATGGAGGATGGGATGGATGGAGGATGGATGGATATGGATGGATGTAGATGGATGATGATGGATGGATGGATGGATGGATGGATGGATGGATGGATATGGATGGATAGATGGATAGATGGATAGATGGATAGGATGGATGGATAGATGGATGGATATGGATGGGATGGATGGATAGGATAGATGGATGGATGGATGGATGGATGGATGGATGGATGGATAGATGGATGGATAGGATGGATGGATAGGATGGGATGGATAGGATGGATGATGGATGGATAGATGGATGGATGGATAGGATAGATGGATGGATGGATGGATGATGGATGGATGGATGGATGGAGATGGATAGATGGATGGATGATGATGGATGGATGGATGGATGGATGGATGGATAGGATGGATGGATGGATAGATGGATGGATGGATGGATGAGGATGGATGGATGGATGGATGGATGGATGGATGGATGGATGGATGGATGGATAGATGGATGGATGGATGGATGGATGGATGGATGGATAGATAGATGGATGGATGGATGGATGAGATGGATGGATGGATAGATGGATAGATGGATGATGGATGGAGTAGATGGATGGATGGATGGATGGATGGATGGATGGATAGATGGATGGATGGATGGATGGATGATGGATGGATAGATGGATGGATGGATAGATGGATGGATGGATGGATGGATGGATGGAGGAAGGATGGATGGATGGATGGATGGATGGATAGATGGATGGATGGATGGATGATGGATGGATAGATGGATGGATGGATGGATGGATGGATGGATGGATAGATGAGAGATGGATGGATGGAGGATGGATGGATAGATGGATGGATGGATAGATGGATGGATGGATGGATAGATGGATGGATGGATGGATGGATAGGTGGATGGATGGATGGATGGATAGAAGGATGGATGGATGGATGGATGGATGGATGGATGGATGGATGGATGGATAGATGGATAGATGATAGATGGATGGATGGATAGATGATAGATATAGATAAGATGATAGATGGATGATAGAAAGTTGATAGGTAGACAGATGGATGATAGAAAGCCTAGATACATGGGTGGAAAGATCAAGCAAATATTTCCCCCTCAGTGTCTCATTTCAATGCACAATTTATCATCTCACCTAAGAAACACTCTCCTTGTTAACTGAACGTCTTCTGCCCCATGCTCCCCAACAGCGGTTAAAAATTATTTGAAATTGGATGCTTTCTTTAATGTTTCATCATCAAAAGCAGTGACATCAAATGAACGGAAGAAAAACTGAGGGCGGTGACTCGGGGGTGGGGGGGAGTGGAAAATCCCCCAAATGGACCCATTTGCATGCATTTTCCATGTGAAGGAGATTGCCTGCCCCACAACAGGTCCACGGGATAGGATGGCCTGGTGGGGAGGAGCCCAGACTGGGTGGGGGCAGAGGGAGGTTAGAAGGCCCAGGTTGGAGTCCCAGCCTTGTCAACGGTCCGCTGGGTGACCTGGCACAGGATCCTCTCTCCGTGAGTCCGGTTTCCACCTTGGAAGATGGGGATCATGTGAGTTTCCTGTGGCTACTTGAACACGTGACCACAAGTTGGGGGCTCAAAACTGTGGGAAATTATTCTCCCCCAGTTGTGGAGGCCAGAAGTCCAAAATCAAGGTGTCGGCAGGGCTGGGTCCTTCTGGAGGATGGTTCAATCAACAAGCGAGGTCTTTTTAAAATAAGATGATGATAAATTGTGCGTTGAAATGAGGAATCAGGAGGGAAATATTTGAGCCAAATGTATTATCCTTTTCACCCATCTGTCTAGACTATCCGTCCATCTATCTGTCCATCCAGCTATTCATCTATCCATCTGTATCTATGTATCCACCTATATCCATCTATCTCTATCTTCTATCTATCTATGTATACATCTATCCACTTATCTATCCATCTGTATCCATCCATATCCATCTGTCCATCTATATCTATCCATCCATCCATCCAACCATCCATCTATCATTCAACGCTTGGGTGGTTTCCACCTTTTGGCTGTTGGGAGCCGTGCTGCTGTGAACACGCGTGTTCATGTTTCCGTGTAGACACATGTTTTCGTTTCTCTTTGACTTATGAGTAGGAGCCAAATTGCTGGGTCATAGGATAACTCTATGTTTGAGGAACCACCAGACTGTTTCCACGAGGCAATTTGTAAAGAGTGAGGGGTCAAAGGGGGACAGGCCGACCTAGTCCTGGCTCAGAGAGTGCCTCCCAGCCGCCTATGTTGTCTAGGGCCACCACTGTCTTCCTGAAATACTTGGGCTCATGTAGGTCCAGCCTGGCTCTCAGCCCCAAGCCCCTGTCTTTTATTGAAACTGTGGCCATCATAATTGGCGTATTAAGTACTTTCTCCTTCGAGGGACCATACACATCGATGTGTGTGGATGAGCCCATTTTGGTCTTACAATGGTCTTTGGTTATCTTGGGTTGAGAGTATTCCCGCAAAATGTTCCCCTAAATTTATGTCCACCCGGAACCTCAGAACGGGTCTTTATTTGGGACTAGAGTCTTTGCAGAGGTAATTAGTT